CACGACCAAAGACTGAATGCAAAAGTTCAATGCAAAGGAGGGGGTCACTGGACCGGCGTGCAGAACTCCTCATTAACCGAGTCGCTGACCTGCCTCGTTCACATTTACACGCTGTGTGATTCGACCCTTTAAGTCCCCCCCATTCAGGCAGCCCGCCAAGCCCCTCACATTCATGCCGAACTTTATCTCCAAACACTGAGCATGGAAAAGGCAAAGTGGAGCGACCCAGCTGAGAATTAGCGCCGCCCGAGGGAACCTCGTTACGGTGATCAGACCATCGCCTGCAGCCCCAAGCCTTCCCGTCCACCACTGCAAACCCCAGAACCAGGGAACTGAATCAGATGGAGATAAAAGAAAAGGTAGAAACATTTCTTAAACGTCTAGGAGAAAGGAAAGGCACAGAAGGAAAAACTATTTTTCTCTAAATAACAGAGAATGGACAGCGCGGACGCTCTGCTCTCGAAACATAAAAATATGATTCAATTATAAATTTCATGAGTAAATAAAACTTACTTAATCACTCCGTGGCAATTTATAAAAAGTTGGGTATTAATCCAAGTCCACTCAAAATGATGGATTTAAGAAAACTAGCCAACGAAGTAAAAACAAAATGCTAGATGAAGTTTATGTTTCTTTTGGGCAAATAAGAGCAGCCGCTAAATGGCAGAGTCATTTACCATCCTCATCGCGACGCGTCTCTGCGCCCGCAGGGCAGGAATTTCCGCGAGATATCTGGGGCCCCACGGTGTCACCGACGGCTCGCAATCGCCGCTGTTGGTGGAACAGAGACCGTTGCGTCCCAGCGGAAAACCTCCAGCCCTCATCACGGATATTTCGTGAAACCTAAACTTGGGGGATTTATGAAGAAACAGCGCTTTTTCCTTTAAAAAGAAACATAAATAAAAGCTGATTATGGATAATAGGTTGGGAACCGAACCTGTTTCACATTTGTAGTTTAAACTCATTACACGTATAATCCAGGCTGTGTACAGGCAATGTCCAGGCGAGCGATTGTAAAACATGAAAACACCGACGACTCCACAGACCGCTAATATTTACAAGCACGTTTAGGGGGCTGAAGTTCAGCCTGAATGAGCTATAATTGAGCAACTACACCTCCCGATGCAAACAGTCTACATTTAAAAAAGCTTAATTCGATGAGCATTAACTGGGAGCCCCATCAGCACCACGGACGACAGTGCAGCCGTACACCGTTAATAACAGCCACCCAGCAAGAATCAGACTGCAGTATTTTTGCCACAGAGCAGATGGAGTCTGAGAAAATTCGTCACGTCATTATTGTCTTTTCCCACTTCGGGATGCCACTTTCATTCACCCCCCCGCCCCAAACCCCCACCCAGTGCAGCGGAATCTTGGCAGGATGGGACCCTGGAATAGATGGGACCCTGGCGGATACACGCGGCACAATGGATGAATGGGTGATTAAAGGAGTGTGAAAGAGTGATGGGAAAGAGAGTGAGTGCCTTTGCAGGCGGGCGGGGGACTGGGGCGGCAGTTAGGGGGGAACGAAAAGGGCCACGGCTGGGGTGTTCTCTCTTCTGTAGCAAAGGGAAGCTCTCTCTCTCTCCTCAACGATCAGGCGTGAATTATACCCGCGACACTCAGGTAACGTCCCGTTACTCTCCTGATAGCTCTTCATAACATAGCTGTAACGTGGTCAGTGCCCTATCAGAGCCACGGAGAGGGGGCCAGTCACCCCATGTGAACACGAGCACAGTCAGACACACACACACACACACACACACACACACACACACACACACAATGTACCGGCCAACGTAGGGGACAAAAGGCGGTGTGTGTCTGTCTGTTCGTGTGTGTGAGAGCGAGAGAGGGAGTTATAGAGTTTGCTTGTGTGTGAGATTGAACGGGGAGGGTGGCGGTGCAGGGGCTTCTTGCCGAGGAGGGTCAACCTGTGTTATCGTTCAAGAGCGTGACCCCCCCCGCATTTTGGTTAAATACTACTTCCTGGAGAGGTTCGCCGATCAAACCGGGTCGTCTCAGTCAGCGATTTGGGCACCGCCAGGTGAACTGATGCGTGTGAATATAGACACGTAACAAAAAGGCTGTTTCATTCGCTGTCCATCGTGCATTCGGCGACCCTAAACCCGCGGCTACATTTCAAAAGCGCCTATTTAAGTATCCGCTAAGTTACTCAGCATCAGTACGGACGGCAACAGCTTAATTGGACCTTGTCTTAGGTGGTTTGTCGTTTCTGATATACACTTAGTAAAATGATCAATAAACTAAAACAAGTGGAAAGTACTTACATTAATTTTCGTACCTCGAAATTGCATGTTTGGGATAAATCCGCATAAATCAATCGTATTATTATTTATTCGTGCCAAGGTCAAAATATATTGGTTTTAATAAGCGTAAAATAATTTACAATCCAAAAAATATAAAGGCGCGATTATAGATTATTCAAAAGTCATAAATATTAATATTTAAACTAAATCAAAGTTACCCAAAAGGTGGTATTTAAACCTTATAAACAAAGTGACATATTTTACTAAACGAAAGCGCTGTTTTGTGTGATTATAATAGGCCTAGTAGTCTTGCGTGTAGTTTTTATTTCTCCGTCGGTGGTTACAGTCAATAATGGATAACACAATGCAATGCCTGGCTTTGGCTAAGTGACCATACTTTAAATATATTTTAATAATTGATTTAAAAGCAGTTACCGCATTTCAGTGTCACAAACAGAAAAGCTACATGCTTCTTCAGATCCAGCGAAACATCCATACCGCGGACCTTATTATAAAGTCACTACTAAACGGCAGATCGACGACGAGATATTTGAATCCACCACCGAAAATGATTTAATCTAAGCCTATATGTTTATTAGTTAGGCTACATAATTATTGCAATAATTATGATTATCAATGACGCTGTAATTAATCACAGGAATCCATGACGTTTTAGAAACACGAGGAATTTCAATTTACATTACAAACATTAAAGTTAACTTTTTAAACTTTCAAACTATTAATTCTAAAATCTATATTTTATGTATTTAATCCTTCCGGTTAAATAACAATTTTAACGAAGTACCGAAAATTAATATTTAGAAATCTGGGAAATGTAAAGCGCGCAGCTTACAAAAAATAATTATAACTGAAATGGTAAAATTGTGTTTCAGCGGCGTGATGAAAAATGAGGGTCACGAATTAAACTGAAATGTGACAAATGACCAAACGGCGCCGGGCTTTATTTAAACATGAGTTTCGCTGAAAGTGGTCCCGCAGGACAAGCCGCTTCACCGGGGTGGGGCACTGGCGGCGCGCGCCAGCGTGGTCCGGGACACCTGAGCACCCGGCTTGACAAATATTTAATTTAGCACAAAGAGCACCACAAAAATTCTAATTAAAAAATGCAGTATGTTAAACTCCAAAGGCAGCAAAAACAGGAAACATACCTCTGCTTATTTTGCCAATAATGTTATTATAAGTGCTTTTGATCCCTCGGCATTGGTAAAACAATAACTTAAAAATTGGAATAACAATGACCTGTACCAGTCGAGTCCCCTGTCGTAGTGCCGGTCGAAGAAATGCGGCTCCGCTCCCACCGCCCTGATGTCGGGATGCACCCGCAGAAACTCCAGCAGCGCCCGCGTGCCTCCCTTCTTCACCCCGATGATGATCGCCTGGGGCAGCTTTTTGGTCCCGTCGCTCAGCGGACTGAGTTTACCTGCACTCCCACTCCAAACTGCTGATGTTGGGTTGGAGGAGCTCAGGTGGGACCTCTGTTCGGATTCTCCGCCGAACAGCGGAGCGTCGTCCGCAAAGCCCGTCGCGATCCATTTCTGGAGCAGCATTTTATTCCTCGGCGCCCGCCAGTCCTGCGCGGCTTGGCCAGATGCTCTCTCCGGAGCTGGCGCCGTGCTGCAGCGGTCCGTGAGGCAGTGCATGAAGTACAGTAAAGTGAACAGGGTGCAGAGCATGGCCACGAACTTCTTGGAGACGCTCCTCGGCAAGGTGTCCGACCAGAGCCGGCTAAATGCCATAACGGTTCGAAGGTCGCGTGTGAGGCATCCAAAGCCATCCTAGGCAGTCATTTTCAGATCGTGCCATCAAAAGACAGAGAAAGTCAGCGAGAGGCAGCATCAGAACGAAACAGACTTTTACTTGGTGTCCTTTGGAAAAATCTTCCTAACATGCTTATATTTTAATTATGAATGCCTGAAATGGTTACTTGCCCTACTATTAAGATTCGAAATATTATAGTTATGATCAAATGCATCGTTAATGCTGTACTGTTATATTTATGTAGGCTTATTACACCTATGCAGGCAAGATGCGGTCCTTTAATCTTCGACAACCGAGCCAGGGCTGTCAGCTCTCACGCATCTGGCGTGACACTCACGCAAGAAATCTTACGGCAAATACATATTATTCCATTATAAGCCTACATCAACAGTGCTGGCATAGTTTGTAAACCATATAGACTATTTATAAGGTAATAAAGCGGTTACATACATGTGTGCAGATTTGTCTGTAACTGAAAATCCACGTCAGCCAGCTGACCAAAGTTGGTTATTTGTGAGTCTGGATGTCCCATCTGTTCATACCTGCATCTCGGGATAGAGAGTCTATATCTAAAACGAACTCAGACATATATATTCATTAAAGCACAACTGAACTGAAAAGCCAAAGAAAAGAACTGAGAAAAATCTATATTATTCCTGTAAATTTAACATCCCCGTAAACTGCGCCCTAAAGGCACCGGGAATCTAACTTCACTGCTTCATCCGCACGTGCGCCGCTTGTGTCAAACTTCAGCTCGACATCACGGAAATAGCCGAGCATTTTCGGGTCTAGTCGGAGCCCACACGGTTATTACGATGGGTTTTTTTTAAGCTTCTCCAGTTTAACAATAAGAGAGACCAATCACACACCGACGGGGGAGGGGTCCGAAGCCAGGAAGTGCCACGCCCATTGACGGCCAAGGCCGAGTGTCCCCGAAGGAGCAAAAGGCGCAAATGACCGCGATGGTTGTATATTTACAGCTGTCCGAGTATTTACATTCTTACGAAATTTGTCTTTAATTTTTGATCAGCTATATTAGACGATGCATATCCAATAGAAATGGTCCTTACCTAAACCCTTATTGGACAATTATGAGTTCTAGCTTAAGTTAAACCCAGCTGAGTGAGAAATCCTTCTTCGTGGAACACCCCCCCTAGAATGTATTGTACTGTAGCACCGGCGTGGTGCAGGTCCCAGCCTGCTCACTTGGGATTGTAAATAGCCCTTGTTGTATTGTTGTTGTTAATACAATAGTTGCATTTCCGTATTGTCGGGCGTGTGTTTGCCCGTGTCTCGTGTGTACCTGATCTGATCCTCGCCTGTATTTAGCGTGTGTAAATCATCCACCGTGTGTGCATATTACAGTTCAGCGTCTGACAACCTTGTGTTTCCCGTCTGTGTTTTTGGTTTGGCGTCTGTTGTATCTTTTTCAGGACTGCCAATAAAGAGTGTGATTTCCTCGGCAAGCAATTCTGCACGTCACTCTGCTCCACAGTCTTTCATTGGTTTCTGCAATTTCATCATTCAAGGAATAATTCAGCCAAAGCTTCTTGCTCTAGACGCCTAGCTGCCTGGACAAAAGACAAGCTTCAGTTTAGGCGGCGTTTTGCCTGCTGGCCCGCCGCGTACCTGATAATGTAACATGGGCAGTGTAGTGTGGATGCCCACTTGCTGAAAAGATATCACGTTTTATAGGGGCGTAATTAAGTGAAACTCCCTCCAGATCCGGTCCCGAGGGGCGATCGTGTTTGACAGCTAGGAGAAAGCCTGGCTTATAGGATTCATCAAGGAGCACAAACGGATACAGGTGTGTGTTGGATCGCAGTCGATGCTGCGGCGGAAGCTGCTCCTTTCCTATGTGTACCGGTTGATCAGCCCTCACTTATTTTTGAAATGACGGAACAAGGAAAAAAGCCAGATATATAGAAAGTAACGATTGCGGGAGGTCTGCAGACTGAGTGCACCCAATACCGTACCTGTTCATTATCCAAAAATATGCTTGGGTGCTTGACCATCGAGATCTTTGAAAATATTTTATGATGCATTTATACTATTGTTACTAGATGATATTGGACAATATTAAACTTGCCTCGGAGTAGCCGAGAAGCACGAGTATCCCGTTTCAGGGAGTGACCCTCCGCCAGCAAAGGCTTGTTGTTCTGCTAAGTGCCGCTAGACCCGGTGGCCGGTGGCTCTTGTACAACATCAATATCACGCCCGCGAAAACGTTGTGAGAATTGTGAAAAAAATGTTTTCCAGCCTTTCCGTGGAATGGGGGGGGGGGGGTGAATGATATCTATTTAAAATAATCACCAAATAAGGTAGCAAAATGAAAATACCGGTATCCAAGGCATGCCGTCAGGAGCGCCTGCGTTCCCTCTGGAGGTGTGTGATTCTACTGTCGGTTTTATGCTGTAAAGGAGCATCTCGCATCCCTGCACGCCGGTCTGTCGCGTCCAGGACCCCGCGGGCTGAGCTCGATCCACCCGGGTCTTATTTGGGCCACCAAGGAAGATGCCTGCTACTCTCTTCTTTTCAAGCAGAGGTATTATATGGGTTAGAAATAATCAGGGGCACATTATTGCTTTACAAGTGAACAAGAATGAGAGTGAATGGTTCACATCTGCTGCTGCATTTTTCGGGGGGCGGGGGGGAGAAAGCGGGGGGCGTGGGGGGTGGCATACAGCAGCCTGCTGACCAAGCAAGAAGGCAGAGAGGAGGAAGAGGAGTCCTGTCACAGTTTGACAAATCAGCCTCCCATCAGCACCACAGCCATGCCCCTCTCTTTGCCCCCCTCAAAAAAGAAGAGACAGTCAACTTCTGGTACCTCTGGGGGGGCTACATTGTCATCATTTTCCTCACAGCAGAAGAATGTGCTAAAAGCCAGGCCTGTCCGAGTCTGGGAGTGGCTCTTGCTGACGGGGGTGGTTAGTTCTTTCCCAGCATGCATCCAGCCCCCCCGCCAGGTTGGATCTGTAATTATAAGCTCTGCAAGCTTATTATTATTATTATTATTATTATTATTATTATTATTATTATTATATACTGCTTGTAGCTGCTGATCTAGGGAGGAGACTCACTGCTGCCGCCCTAGTGGAGGTACAGCGGTAGCCACTGGCCTGTGGGTTCGGTTTTCTCGTCCACCAATCAGAGCAACGCGATGATGAAGATGCCTCTTTGGTTACTGCTGCTCTTCTGAGAGATGAAGGCAGCGTTTAAACTTTATCATCTAAGTAAGAGCGGATGTGGCTGAAACATGCTTGGCTGTAAAAAGTGACACCTCCCTCTGGAGCTTGAATGCCCAGCCCCCCCCCCAGCGTGAGCCCGGCAGGCTGACAGGTGTCACCCAAGATGTTTTCTTCCCCTTGTGATGCTTTTGAGAAAATGGAAATCGGACAGGAATGCAATAAATATGTAATACAAGCCATCTTTACCTTCCAGTGCTATTCATCGCCCAGTAAAGAGCCTCATCCCTGCAGACATTTCCCAGTTCTTAAGGGTCAGTTAAAGCAGTGGCACAGGCTGGGAGAGAAGCGCGCTTTGGGTGTCATGGCAGGAACTCGGGTTCAAGGCAAATGGGCTTTGGTGGGGGTGTTTAGGGACTCTGCCTCTGCCTCTCCTTACTAGGGAAATTCAACAGGAGATGGTAAAAGGGAGGGGGGGGGGCAGTGATGCAAGCTCATGTCCTCAATCCAGGAGCAGCGAGCAGTTTGATTGGCTGAATCGGGACTGATCTGATTGGTCAACTCATTGCAATCGTTCCACTCTCCTTTGTGGGGTGTGGCTCAGTAGGTTAAGCCTCTGTGTTTGATTGGAAGGTTCAAACCCCAGCAGAACCAGCCCACTGTGTCCTTGAGGAAGACCATCGATAAATGGCCAGATATGGACTGACTGAGCAACTCCATTCTCAGCCATATATATATTATATATAAACACACACACACACACACACACACACACACACAGAAACAGTATTTCAGTTCCTTCTGTAGATGTTTGATAGGATCCAGCCCATGGTTCATAGGGTCACTTCAGAACAGTCCAGCACTGTTCTTCATGGCTGCTTTAGCTGTGTGTTTTGGGTCATCATCCTGTTGGAGGACCCATGACCTGCGACTGAGACAGAGCTTTCTGACACTGGGCAGTACGTTTCGCTCCAGAATATCTTGACAGCCTTGAGATTTCATTGTGTCCATAATAGGTATGGTGTTCTTTTCTTTGAAAGCTTCAATTTTTTCCCCCATCGGTGAACATAGAACTGAAGTGACTGGCCGAAAAGCTCCGGTTTGGTCTCATCTCTCCAAAGGACATTCTGCCTGAAACGTTGGGGCTTGTCAATGTGCATTTTAGCAAATTCCACTCTGGCTTCCTTATATGCTCTTTTCACCAGTGGAGTCTGTCTTCTGCCTTTGAGTCCCTCGTCACCCAAACAGCGACGGATGGTGCAGTCAGATGCTGATGCACCTTGACCTGGGAGTTCAGCTTGTATCTCTTTGGAAGTCCTTCTTGACTTTTTGTCTCCATTCTGACCATCCTTCTGCTCAATCGATTTTCATCTTGCAGCCACGTCTAGGGAAGTTTGATAGACCTTAAATTTCTTAATATTTGCAGCTGTAGTCACAGGAAAATGCGGCTGCTGTCTTGTAGAATTTAACATGCTTGTGTATAATTTTCTCCATGATCTCCTCAGACAGCCCTCTGCTTTGCTATCTCTCCTGCGTGTTTGGTTTGGTGCACTTGGTGATACCAAACCGTAGAGTGATTTCTCTTCTCCATGTAAATAGGCTGTGTGACTGATTACAAAATTGAAGATTGTGTGCTACTAATTAAAGAAAACCATTAGTTTGAAAAATCACTATAATCCAATTATTTAAAATCTTTTTCTAGGGGTACCACAGAATCTGTCCAGGCCATTTTAGAATATCTGTGTGGAATAAGCGATAATTAATCTCTTTTCACTTTCCTCAATGACATTTCAAAGTCATGCAGTTATACATGAGACAATTGCTTTTAATTTAGTCACCTCTCAGAAGGAATAAAGTGCTTTTCCAATGAGCTGAAATGGTACCAACAAATTTGTTTACTCAGACTCATTGCCACTGGTGTATAGAATCAAGCACCTAGCCATGCTGTTAGGTTTACAAACATTTATGAAAGTATTAGTCGTTTTGAAGAGTTAATTCAATTCGAGTGTGGTTCTGTCATTGGATGTCATCTTTGCAATAAGTAAGTTCATGAAATTCCTTCCCTCCTAGATATTCCATGGTCAACTGTCAGTGGTGCTATTGCAAAGTGGAATGTGTGTGTGTGTGTGCGTGTGTGTACCTGTGTGTGTGTACGTGTGTTGGTTTTTGTGGTTTACAAGGACTTTTGACCTGAATACTCACCAGCATTACAGGGACATTTGGGTTTATGAGGACAGGGACCATGTCCTTATAATTCCGGCAATGTAGAAGCCATTTTCTAAGTCCCAGAAACTCCCTCTCAAATTTTGGCGCCATGTCCTAACATACCACAAAGCCCTGAAATCTTACTATACACTGTGTATCTCTGAACTCGAGAGTGCGCCCCTGTAGCCGGGACCCGGTACAACACCTGCGTCATCAAAGATTTGCATATTACACACAAGTGTAAGTTTTGAGGCCGCTGATTGGCTAAATCGGTAACGTGGGCGGGAAATCGCGAAAACAAGATGGCGTCGGTGGGCGTGGCTTCAGTCCGC